GTCATTAGGTTGATATATTTTAAAATAAACATATTTTAAGATTTTATATACAATTATATAAAAAAAACTTGTTTTAATCTCATCCCATTTGCGCTGAGGCGATAATTTGTAGGTACATCCTGTGACTGTTATGGGATCTATAATCGTTATTATTTGATTAATGGGCAGCCATATCTTTTCCTCAATTATGGGATAAAAGAAGGATGGTGATGGTTTATGGGGTGTAAAAAGGAAATATATATCTCCTCAGTAATTTCATTCTTTTTTAGTACTGTGGCTAACCACCAAAAATCGTCATAAATACATGTTACGAATCTTTTAATATCAGAAAAAGAGAAATTATCGGCCTTTAAGATATTGTTAATTTGAAAGTCCTCTTCATATGAATATATTTTTGATTTAAGTTTACTTAAAACTCAAAGGAACAGGTCCGTGAAGTTGGCATAAAGACTTGAGGTACATTTGACAAATGTAGGACAGATGAATGATATAAATTTCAAGTAAATTAAAAATAACTATCACTAAATAATTGACCTTGAAATATTTATTTATTGACTTATTTTGCTAATAACTCACGAGCAGTTAATTATGCTGAAATACGGTTAAAAGATTCTTTAGGTTCAATTAAAGGGGTACACATTGGCATAGATATTTGTAATTGCACCTCATTTTTATAAAAATACCGCTTACCACGCTTCTCAAATGGATGGATATAACTTGGTTACGGTGAATGATAAGGATATCGGGTTTTGAGAATATTATAGTACAAATTGAATACTAAATAATGGCCAAGTTTCAGAAAATGAACCTTTTTATTTTCGGTTTTGGCAAATTGCCAACACTTTCCTTTTTGCTGATAAATCACGAGCGGTTGATTCTGTTAATATACGGTTAAAAGATTCTTCAAGTTCAAATAAAGGGCTACACATTAGCATAGCTATTGGTAAATGCACCTCATTTTTTAAAAAATTCCGCCTACTTCACATTTCTAAAATAAATGGATATAACTAGGTTACGGTGAGTGATACGGATATCGGGTTTGAGAATATTATGGTACAAATTGAATACTAAATAATTGCTAAGTTTTAAAAAATTTCACACTTTCCTTATTTTGCTCATAACTCACGAACGGTTCATTCTACTGATGTCCGGATAGAAGTGCAATTAAGAATCTAAATAATGGCATAACTTTTGTCAATTGCACCTCAAGTCGTTATGCCAACTTCACGGACCTGTTCCTTTGAGTTTTAAGTAAACTTAAATCAAAAATATATTCATATGAAGAGGACTTTAAAATTAACAATATCTTAAATGCCGATAATTTCTTTTTTGCTGATATTAAAGGATTCGTAATATGTGTTTATGACGATTTTTGGTGGTTAGCCACAGTACTAAAAAAGATTGAAATTACTGAGGAGATATATATTTCTTTTTACACCCCATGTACTATAACCATCCTTGTTTTACCCCATAATTTAGGTAAAGATATGGTTGCCCATTAATCAAATAATAACGATTATAGACCCCATAACAATGACAGGACGTACCTACAAATTGTTACCTAAGCGCAAAATGAGATAAAACTAAAACAAGTAGTTTTTTTATAATTGTTTGTATATAAAATCTTAAAATGTTTATTTAAAAATATATCGTCCTAATAACCATATCCGTATGGGCAGGGTTGGGAAAATTTTCAGAAAATTGTATTCGGATACAGATACAGATACTTTATAAAATTTTGTATTTAAGATACAAGATACTAGATACTTTAGAAAAATTTTAATAAGATATAAGATACAAGATACTTGTATTTTTTTAAAAAAAAGTATCTAAGATACAAGATACTTTTTAAAAAAACTTTAAATAGTCAAAATCAAAATGTATAAAGCTTTATTTCTTATCTATAATATAAATTTATAAAAAAATATTTAAAATAAATTGTAGAAAATAACAAATTTATTATAAAAGATAATGCGATATTCCATTTAATAATTATATAATTAGTAAATAATAATAAATCAGAATCATAAATCAGCATTATTTTTTAATATTATTAATTTTTCAAATGATTTATCGTTCAATCTTTGACGATTTGGTCTATCAACCATATTAGCAAAGCTAAATAATCTTTCAACGGGGGCTGAGGAGGGTAATATTGTGTTATATTTATTAAATATTTCTTTTATATATTTAAAACTATTTAACATATTTATACTCCGCATGTCATCTTTCATATAATTTAGTACCTATTTCAATATCATTTATTTAATTATTAGAATTGGATGTGGTACTTTTAAGGAAAAAGTAATCATCATCTTCATCAATTAAAGATTTTGTTGAAGTATAAATTTCAATATTATTTTTAAAAACAATTAAAACTTCATGTAATAACAAATCCTGAAGGTATTTTTTTCTTTTTCACCATCAATCCAACGATTTTTAAAATAGGGATGAGAAATAGTTGCCAAAAATGCACTTTTAACATTGTTATCAAAATCATATATAATTTTAAATCTTATATTTAAATAATTTTCTATGGCAACAGCTAATGGTTTGCAAAATTGTAGATTGGTTTGAATAAATTTGTAATTTTTTTTAACGACATTTAAAATTGGAGCTGATTCTCCATAATAGCAGTTGATTTCACTCTGTATTTTGTCAATCGCTATAGCCAATGGGGCCATTATATTGCAATATTTTTATAAATATTGAATTTCAATATCTCTTAATTTAGGAAATTCTAATTTTTGACATAATTTAGGAAGTTCGCCTTTAAATTTTAATAAACTATGAAGACTATCATACAAACTATTTCATCTAGTGCAGCAAGGTGTAACTTTGCCTAAAACTGCTTTGATAAGTTCTGCAGTTTTAGGCCTATTATTTGCATTCCATAGCTTAGTACATTTAGCTATTGCAGGATGATGAATTTTAGAAATGTTAGGAGAATCCTTAATAGCTCTCTCGACATCTGTTGTGGCAATTTTATCGTATGGCACAAACAACGAATGTGTTGTGGCAATGTTATTGAGGCTTCTTTAAACCCTTAAATAAACAAATAAATAATTTTATTTGAATAAAATTTTTTACAAAATTTACAATATCATAATAAATTTTAAAGAAGTATTAAATAATACTTTCAATGATTTCGAATTCTATACATTCATCATCATTGATGTCAAAGTCATTCTCTACAGCTTCCATAGAATATTCAAACTCCTTGAAAGCTTTTCTTAAAGTTAGAGCCGTTATCTGTAACAGTTGCTATAACTTTTTCGTCAATACCAAAGTCACGATGAATTTCTTTATTATGATCATCTTGAAGTACTTCAAAAAATTTGCCATTAAGTATGCTTAGTTTAAATTTATTGTTATAATTTTCGGTTGAAGAATCATCTGAAGACGAAGATAAAGATATTATTCTATTTTCTTCTTCCATAATTTTAAAATAGACAGATATAAAACGATTCAAATATGGTAGTTCTAATTATTAGCAAATTGCTATATGACGACCAACGTCATATATCAAAAATTATCTTAAAATATCTAAATTTTGATTAAATTTTTCATTTAAATCTTAAAACAATATCATTTTAAATTTGAATACTATTTAAATTAACCAATGTAAATTTTTTTTAAAGTATCTGTATCTTTTTGAATACAAAGTTGGTTAAGATACAAATACTTTTAAATAATATGTATCTTAGATACTGGATACAAGATACTTTCCAAAATTTAAAAAAAGATACAAATCTTGTATATCTTAGATACAAATATCCGCCATACTGCCCAACCCTGCGTATGGGCAGCTTCCTTACCTATTGTCCTTGGATATGATATTGATTATATTATATCGATTTATTTAATTTTAATACCAATATAATACATATTTTTATTAAATATATCATATTATAAAATCTTTTAAAATATAACGCCATCTATATTACCTTATTTTATTTATAAAAATAAACAAAAATGGCTATCGAAATTTTTTATTAAATCGTTTAATATAAAGGTAAAAACATTTTTAGAGAAAATCAACACCTAAAAATAATCCTTCCTAACAATGTTAATTTTTTATTTTTACAGGAAATAAGAAAACACTTGGATATTTTTTTCGATATTTTCCAATATAAAATTTTAAGGGCTATAAAATGATATATAATTTGTAACTCTATCTTAAGTATTTAAAAAAAAAACAAGATTTAATGAAATCTCGCACTTCGCGTTTTTCGACTTTGAGGGCGTATATCTTTGGATCTGATTGAGCTAGCACTTTAAATTTTAATTTTATTAACATATACAAAATAAATAACTATCATGCCAAGTTTCGTTCATTTTAAAGATGGTCATCTTAAAATTTGGTTTTTTTGGTCAATTTGACGTGGAATGACCCTTAAGCCATTGGTCCACTTGTTTATAAAATCAATGATTTTATAAAAATTTACTCCCTGCACATTTATATAAAAATTTTGTTTAACCCACCCACCCAATGTTTGAAAATTAGTTTTTTTAATTTATTTTAATTAACTTATAAAATATGTATGAAATAAAAAATGATTTAAAATAAATAGCAAAAAATATTTAAAAAGCCAATTCAAGCAATAAAACTGCTTTTGAATTTAAATGAAGTTTATGTAAATTATTTTCTTGTATCTTTTATTCAACATATAAAGTAAATTTGCAACAAAATAAATAAAAAAAAATAGAAAAAGAATTAAAAACCACCTTTCTTTACTAATATTATTGATTTTAAGTTGTTTAATTGAAAGTAAAATATCAGGCATCCAATAAGCAGTATGATAGAGCCTAATAGAGGTCAGCACATCCTGAACTAGGTAGAGTATTTCTATTCAGTTTTTTGACCTGGCCCACAATAATATTTTGTACAATTTATCCAGCCTGCCCTTTTTTGCCATTAAGGTATTGTGGTCTGGTGAAAAATATCATCATTACCAGAAAATCATATTAGATCAATAGGCTATAAAATAATTAGCAAATTATTTTGTAATGCTATTTTATGTAAGATAAATTAAATTTATACAATCTGAATAGGAATAAATTTTATTTGAATTATATTGGTATTTTATACATAAATATGAAAAATTAGCCTAATATCAAATTTAAGTCTTTTTTGCTGCTGCTGAACCAACTTTGGCTTTAGCTGTTCCTCTGACTTTTTTCTGCCTATTTTTCCTTTCTTTACGTTGTTTTCTACCAGATTTAGGCTTCTCATATAACCCTTGCTAAAATATTTGTAAATATATAAATATAACAATTATTATTTAACTCTCTGTAGCCTATATTTAGGTTCCATTTTTTTGGCAAGGTCTAATGTGTCATATATCAAAGCAAAGCCTGTTGATTTACCTCCACCAAACTTAGATCGAACACCAAACACAAACACTAAATCTGATGTGCATTTGTACATTTTTGCCAATTTATCCCTTATCTCTACTTTGGGCATGGTTGCTTTACCTGGGTGCAATATATCTACGACCTTAAAATGTATGGATTAAAATATAAATAAATCATAAATACCATTTGTTTTCGACTTAATAAACGATTTGTCATAAATTTTCTGGTACGAATAGTTGCAGTTGTCTCCTATATTAAATAGCATTAGAACATATATAAATAACACATGAAATTACCATATCGAAAGGATATAATGCTAATCAACAAATTTTTTAAAAAATAAAATTTACCTTTTAAATTTAGTATAAAAAAATTTATTTTGATGGTGGCACTAATTAATATTATTTTAGATGAAATAAAGTTTAAATGAATATATTTATTTAAATTTTCTGAAATAATATTTTTTTAACATAAATTTAATAAATAATAATAAATATATGTAATATTATCTTAAAATATTTACAGAATTATTTTTATTAATATATTTATCATTTATCTAGTTCCCCAATTTATTTATAGAACAAAAATACAATTTGATAATAAATTATAAATGTTAAGCGTTGCAGCTTTGATATAATTTAGATTTAAAATCAAAATATGTTGTTTTATCTGTAAGAATTTTCTAAATAGATGAATTACTAATAGTTCAAGGGTAAAATATAGTTATAGAGGACATTACATATTACATTATGAATATTTTTGTTTGATTATTTTATCAAAAGAGTTTTTTATATTATAATACCTTTTTTTTCTAGTATGTAAATAATATCGAGGTTCGGTTTATAAACAACACTATCACATTTTTTAAATTCTACAAATGAATTATTTCTTTTTAAAAAATAATGTCGATTATAGGTAATAAAGTATATTTTGTATTTGGAATTATTATATTCTGTTTCGGTATTATTGGATTTCGGTTATATTATCTTAAATATTATTCTATAACAAGTTAAAATATAAATAAACACTTTATTAAATATATTTATAGCCTTTTATTCTTCAAACCATTTACAATCACCTCAACTTCAGAAAAAATTTAAAACCTACTCAGTTAAATAATACCCTAATCTAATATATTTAACATTGATTTTTAGGCTGCTCTAGATATAAATACAAAAAGATATGAATTAAATAAAAATCCAAATTTCAATATAGATTTATTAAATAAAAATATGCATCCAGTATATGCATCTCTTTCTATGCCTTCTACACAATATAATTCTAAAAAGAATGATTCAAATCAAATATATCTCTCAATATTCTCAATTATGATATTTGGATTAATTATTTTTATTGCATTTTCAACAGTAAGATTTAAATACTTCTGATGTGCTAATTAGAGATCTGCAATAAGTAGATTTTAACCTAAATTTCTATCCACTCATTTTAAAATTTTTTTTAACCTGCCCAATTAAAAATTATTTCATTTTGGCCTTTATACTTAAACTGATAAAATATACAATATTATGAAATATAATAATTTTTAATAAATATCAACCTGTTCTGCTCATCTTGTCCCAGAAATATTTCAAATTCACCTACCCACCTATTGTCTTAAATATATTTTGCCTTACCTATCTGTGGGTTGGCTTAAAATTTGACTATTGCAGATCTATATGAGCTTTTGGAGCACGGGCAAATGGATTAGATGGAATATTACAGAAATATCTATTCCATTCTATCCTTTTATATTTATTTTATTGAAAATTATATAAATAATATACTTTTTTCTGACTATAAATATTAGAGACCTGTAAGCCATAAATCTGGCCCTGTCTAAAGTGGTATCAAGTCATAATATACTATGATTTTAAGAATATAGGCCTGGCTTAACAATATAAAATCACAAATTTGGGCAGGCCTAATTTTTTAAAATACATTCTAATTATATCAATCTGTGTATGGATAAATGATATTAATATTAAGAGCATTTAGGATAAGAATATATAGCTCTATTTTCTAATATCTGATAGTGACAAACCATGAGTTTAGGGAAGCAATTGAATCTTTATCAGAGACCTGCAGATTGCTGAAATACCATTTGCATGGCTTGGCCTAGACTTTAAAAAAAAATTTTTTGGCCTGGCCAGGTGAAAGAAAAATTCTGTCCAGATTTCTTTGAAAAAATTTTTTGGCCAAGGTGTGTAAATTTCTTTTGATGGCCTGGGTTTTTTAAAATAATAAATAATTATTCTGCATTTTACAGATCGTTTTTAATCAAATATGAAATCCACTATAATAACTTTTCAAATTATCAAATCTCCCCATTTGTCATAAAAGGAGTGATTTTGAATTATCACACTTTTCTATTTGACTGGTCAATGGTAATTCTCTTATTTCCAGTTCCTTTTGTAATTTATAACAGTCATTTATATTAGTAATGGTCATTTTTCCCTTTCTAACTTGCAACATACTTAATTGTTTGAATTTGGGACAGAGAGAAGATAGATACTAAAATAAATTTTTCCCTTAATATTATATTATATTTTGAATGTTTCATTGTTGCTTTTAAATTGATTAAATATCTAAAACTAGCTAATAACCTCTCAAGAATGAAGGGGTGAGGGGTAATTACTTAGTTTATGTATATGGTACTAAGTATGGTTTATACTAAAATTTAGGAGAAAAAGAGGTAAAATTGTTGCAATGTAACCTGTGAGCATTAAGGGTATTGGAAATATCAAAATTTAAATTTGTGATAGGATTCATATTGGGTAAAATTAAAAATAGAGATGCTTCAAAATTTTTGAATTTTAAATATGGGCTAGACATTGGCCTCAAATTTTTGTTTTGCAGACTCAGATAGGCCTGATCAAAAAACCACGTCCCATGCAACTTTCCCAAAATTTTGCCATTTATTTCTATTGTAATTTAATAATAATGTCTTAAATTTAATTTTATATTTAGAATAAAATTTAAATTTGTGATAGAAATCATATTGAATAAAATTTTAAATAGAGATGCTTGGAAATTTTTTAATTTTAAATATGGGGTAGACATTGGCCTGAAATTTTTTTCGCAGACATAGCCAGGCCTGATCAAAAAATTAAGTCCCATGCAACTTTCATAAAATTTTGCCATTTATTTTTATTGTAATTTAATAACAATGTCTTAAATTTAATTTATTTTATATTCCATTTATTTCTATTATAATTTAATAACAATATCTTAAATTTAATTTTATATAAATTTAAATTTGTGATAGAAATCATATTGGATAAAATTTTAAATAGATATGCTTGAAATTTTTTTAATTTTAAATATGAACGAGGCATTGGCCTGAAATTTTTTCTCTCAAACCTGGCCAACCCATAATAATTTTTCCTTAAGCCTGGAGATAGGTAAATCTCTGAAAACCATATTGTTTTGAAAATTTTCTCAAGCCCGCCAAAGACCATAATATAGTTGAGAACTGAAATAAAATATATAAAAGTCATAATTCATTTAAAAATAAAATCAGAATATGAAAGTTGCATGGGCTTAGTTTTTTAATCAGACTGGCGATTTTCTGCAAAAAAATTTTCAGGTCAATGTCTAGCCCATATTTAAAATTAAAAAAATTTCAAGCATTTCTATTTTATATTTTACCCAATATGATTTCTATCACAAATCTAAATTTTATTCTAAATATAAAATTAAATTTAAGACATTTTTATTAAATTACAATAAAAATAAATGGCAAAATTTTATGAAAGTTTCATGGGACTTGGTTTTGATCAGGCCTGGCTATGTCTACAAAAAAAAAATTTCAGGCCAATGTCTAGCCCATATTTAAAATTCAAAAATTTTGAAGCATCTCTATTTTTAATTTTACTTAATAGATTCCTATCACAAATTTAAATTTTGATATTTCTAATACATGCTCACGGTATACATTGCAACAATTTTGCCTCTTTTTCTCCTAAATTTTAATATTTATATAAAATTTATTAATAAAGTATATTTAGTACCATACACACTAACTAAATAATTACCCTTCAACCCCGTCAGCTAGTATGGTAATAAACGGCAAAATTTTAATTGTGGTTCGACTCTCGTATAGGGCAAAAAAATTACAATACACTATATAGTCTCCTTAAATTTTAAATACATTAGGAAGATACGAAAACGATCATGTTTTAATTATGAAGATTATATATATATTAGATTATGATTAGTTGAATAATTAATTTGAATAGTATTTTAATAGAAAATCTTCGAAGGCCTCATTAATAGTAAACGCATTATTGTTCAAGCTTTGCGTTATTTAAAGCTTCATAATTACCGCCAATTCTTCATAGTTAATTTATTTTTTTTGAAATATACATCGTAACATGTGTTTTTCAAATTTTATCATAGCGTTATCATCATAACGATCCATATTTATAAATTATACTTATTTATTAGCTTGATTTTGTAAATAACGAACCACTTGAACATAACGCTTTTACTATAAATGAGGCCTAAATCGAAAAAATGGGAATATGATAAGTGAATGAATGTGATATATAGTTCTTTGATACATATTTTAAAAAATATTGCATTTAATTTTTAGAGATAATGACGTTTTTAATATATTTGTCCTAACCTTTTTTTTAAAAATATTTTTTAGGACCGACCCGAGTATATTAAAAAAAATAAAAATATGGCCCGGCCCGTATACTCATTCCCGGCCTGCAGGTCTCTAATTTTTAATAACCAAACCATTCAAAATAAGATTTATAAAGGAGCGAAATTCGTCTTTGTTTTTTAGTAAAATTCTCAGGAACTAAAATTGCTAGATTTTGAACTTTTTAATTAAATTTTTTTAGTTGAGATGGATAGGATAAGCGGTAAATATTTTATTCTTTTTAAATATTAAAATCCCTGCTCAGAATTTTCAATTTCTTCTTAGTATATAATATCAAAAAATTTTGAGCTAAAAATATTTTTAATAAATTTTTAAGAACATAGTTCATCTTAAATTAATTATTATTTTTAAAAAATAGGAAAAATTTTATTAAAAAAAAGAAAAGTTCAAAATAAAAAATATTTATCTTTATCTTTTATTTTTTTAAAAAATAGGCATTTTGGGGCATGACTAAAATACGCGCCCCCTATCAAAGAAGCTTAATTTAATTATATTAATATAGAATCGTATTTAGATGAGTCAGAAAATGTTTTTTTTTATTTAAAAAAATGGCAACATAGTAAAATTTAAAAAAAAATTTTGTCAAAAAAAAAGAAATTCTCAATAAGTTATAAATAATTTATAAACTTAGTATTAACATTTTTTGATTCCTTTTAATAAATTATATATGATTCAGCGTTCATTTTTTATATATTATGCTTCTTTGATAGGGGGCACATAGTTTAGTCATGTAAAAATAATAATTTTTTAAAAATTTTACTATGTTGCCATTTTTTTTAAATTAAAAAAAACATTTTCTAACTCATCTTATGAAGCTAAATACGATTCTGTAATAATATAATTTAAATTAAGCTTATTTGATAGGGGGCGCGTAGTTGGGGGGGGGCGTAGTTTGGGGGGGGGCGCGTATTTTAGTTATGCCCGCATTTTGTAATTGGCTTCGGCATTTATTTTTTAAACATAAAATCTCACAATATATTAGCTTGATTTTTTTTTAATTAAAAAATAAGCAATTTTATATTTGCTTCCTGCATGTGTTTTATTTATTTTAGTAAAAATAATATTAATTTTTTATAGTAAATATAAAATAATAACGTAATAAAAATGGTATTAATTTTTTTAGCATAATAAGAATTTGAGGTCTATAATGGGCAGGTTTTTAGCCAAAAAGCCCTCCCACTCGTTTGGAAATTTTTTAAATACTTCTAATTTTTTAAAAAAAATTTACCCGCCCGCCTATCCATTCATCTATAAATTTTGTTTAACTCGCCCCCCCCCCCTAATATTTCAAAATTATTCTAAGGCTAGTTTAGCTCTTCGTTTATTTTAATGTATTTATAATTAAACTAATATAATATGCTATATTATGAAATAAAACTATTATTTTTAATAAATTGAAGTCTATTCTACTCATTTCCCCTAAAAAATATTGAAAATTCACCCGTCCACCGCCCATTACTTAAAATTTTTAAACCCCGCTACCCGCCCAATGTTGAAAAATTTTTAAAAAACCCAACTACGCCCGCCCTGAGTTAGGGCGGGCTACAAACTCGCCCAATGCAGTCCTCTAGTAAGAATTTTTAATGCTTTCCTTGCTGGACACTTTATCACTGATATTTGGTGATATATATCTCAATTTCTCATCAGTGGCACTTAAGAATTTCCTGCCTTTATTTCTTTAATTATCAACGTCTTCTTCTTTAATCATTTCTATTAGATTTAGGGGGAGGGGAGGTGATAATAATGTTGTCAATATACCTTTCATTTCTTTGCAAAGAACAGCTTAGAGCTTTTCAAATATGGTTTTATCCATTATTTAAATTATTTATTTAACAATTCAGAGTAAAGGTAAAAGATATCTAACGAGTAAATGTTGGATCATTTACCCATTTTTATTTCCTACTTAAAGTGAAGTCCGAAATTTTACGCATTTTTCCGATATTACGATAAATATATCAATTTCTCTGCTATGGTGACATTCTCACACGGAGAAGATTGCTATAAAAAAATCTATATATATAATTATGAGATGACTATTAAAAAAAAATTATTTTTATATTTAAATTACTGAAAATTTCGTTAAAATATTTGAAGTTTTATTTATTCGCCTTAATTTTGTATAATTCATATTGGGATTTGGGAATCTCGATGATTTTAAATTATTCACCGAAAACGGAAATTTTGATTTGATTGTAAATGTATTCTAGCATGTGTAAAGTGCCTGTCCCATGAAATTTCTGACAATCCGTAGACTAACGTATTTTTATATGAATAGTTCCAAAGTAAAAAACAATTTTTTTTGAAATTTACAGTTATAAGGAATTTATACATCTGGTATACATTTCCGGTCATCCAATTTTTTTACACGGGGTATTTTTAATATCCCGATTTATCATTACATTATGTCACAGCTGAAATTTTAGAAAGTACGTGTATTTTTGTTGACCTTACGGGAAGATATACCCTATAGAAAATTTGCACTGGTACTTATAATATATGGTTTGCCCTGCGTGCAGGGTTCAAAGAATAAATTATTATCAAAGAAAAATACATTACATTTTTATCCTTTTATTATAAAAAAATTTTTAAAACCTCTTTTAAGGTTGCGTCCTAAACCTTGTTTCAAAAGTTTTATAACGTTAGACTGTGTTCAAATCAAGAAATTAAATTTACAAACTTTAGAAACTTTATTGAAAATAAATAAATAAGCTATTTTAAATATAAAAATAAAACATGCCAAAAACAATTCTAGAAAATGTTATAAAATTTAACAGATATTTCAATAAAATTTGCGAAACATTAACCTTTCTAATCTTTTAAAAATAGTTTTAAATATCTAATGATAGAATTTTGAAAATTTCAGAAATATGTTTGGACCATATTTTTATTTTTCTATTAATAAAAAAGAAACTTATTTCATCTTTTCAATAAAAAAATTTGAAAGTTTTCGAATTAAATCTTTTGATTTTTTGTCGTATACAAACATTTGAAGAATTTATTAAATTTACAATATTAGTTTTTAAAATCTTACTCTAAATATTTAATTTTCACTTATTTAAGATTTTTTGTCAGTCAAATGATGGGAAAGACTTTAATATCACGAACGCCACTCATCTCGATGAAATATTAGATCGCCAGAATTTACGTATCCTGACCAAACATTTGCTATATATATTCGAAAATTATCAATGCTTAGATTACTTAGAATTATTTCAGCAAACTTCCACAAAGCTACCCAGCGATTTTAATAGTAATACAATCGATGTTCCAGATAAACATGCTCCCAGAAAAAATGGGTGGTTTAATAAAGACGAATCAATTTTGCCTCCTAATTTTGATACATCGAAATCAGCTGATTATATGGGAGGAAGAAAAAATGAGGTACGTAAAGGAGGAAATATAAGAGATGACATGTCATCAAAATTGCTGTTAAACGATTTAAAGAACCTCGAACAACTACTTGTCCAATACAAAATGAACAAAAATGGATTAGGTATAGCGGATTTAATTGCAAAAGACATTTTTTTTAAAAATTTTTAAACTAGAAATAAGTAAATAGATGTATATTATGGTTGGGCATATTGTCGTATAAACTATACTTAAACATTACAATTTAAATTAGTAAGCATTTAATAAATTAATTTTGTTTCACCATAAAGGCCCTCAAAGTTCTATTAGGCTCGATAACCTATTGTTAAAATTGAACAAAAATCTAAACTTTGCCTTACCCAGGAAATTAGAAAAAAAGGATTATTTACCATCAAATTATTCGTCCGAATCCGAAGATTACTACCATCATTCACATGTCAATCACGAATTAGGCGTTGATAAAAAATATTTATAACTCTAGATTTGTATTATGCCAACTTAATTTTATTCATTTTAATACGATTCGAAGTACTTTGTGCAATATATTTTATTTTATTTATAAATAAATTATTTATGCTTGGATGATTGTTACTCCAGATAGTTCGTGAAAATTATTTTAACCATCTAAATATTAGGATTATTAACAAAATGTTTAAAACATTTTAATTCGTATTTTATTTTAAAATCAATAAATAATAGTTATACATATTCGTTTTTGAAAATAAATAATAATCGATTAGTAATAACAAAAAGACTCAGTGTTAAATTATTAGCTTTTTATAAAATACCATGTTCGAGAAGAAGAAAAAATATATAAATCAGTTGCAAGTCAAATAGTGAGCAAGAATGATAATAATATTCGGGTTTTTTCTTTCTAAAATCTAATCAGTAATTACCAAATTCCAGATGATGTTCCTCCTGGTGGTTGTTTTATTATTCTATGGTGTGGCTTATATTCGATATCTTAATTCAAAAAATTACATTCAATCTACATTTTTTTAAAGAAAAAACGGAAAAGATAATTAATAAATAGTTTACAACAATTTTCATATACCATTAATATCCATATTTTCTTGGACCTTTTTCGACTTTAATTGTTTCGAATCTGTGCTGCCACCATCAACGTGTTCGTGTTCATTATATCTCGGCACATTATGTGCTCTGTTTAACTTATAAATTATTGAAATTTTAATTATAAGATTAAAATTTGCTTTTAAAAATAAATGAAAACGTTTTTGCGCATACTTTACTCCGCATTTGAATTTTGGGGTAAATGAATTGCGAAAATGGGGATGTGTGTATGAAGCGACCACTACCCGCGGGTATAACATCATCATTGATAACGATCTCTTTTCCTTCTTGATTAAAATCTTTCACACCCGGTTCGCTTGGTAATTGAGCCGCTAACCGTCCTCGTGATATAACGTAACACGGAGCCCCGTGGATTTCCATACCTTCGAAAACGTTGAAGTCAACCTTTTGGTGGTGAGTAGCTGCCGTTATTGTCCTTGTCACATGTGGGTCCCATACCACGATATCGGCATCAGCACCAACCTGTATTCTCCCCTTTTTAAAAAAAAATCCTATTTTAAGTATTTTGTTATAATTCAGAAAATTTATGATGAATTTTAGTTCATTCGATTATACTTTCCTCGGGTATAAGTTGAATATTTTGGCTGCGTCGGTACTACTGACTGCAACAAATCTACACGGATCCATTTTCCCACTAACCTTTGAATTATTTTTATTATATATAAATAAAATCCCCCTTGTTCAAAGAGTTCATATTTTAATTTATTCAAGACTAATTATGTATCATTTGTAAATATATATATATAAATTTTATAATATTTAAAAAACTTACAACTCCCTTTTCCCAAAGCACGGACATCCAATGCTCTACACCATTAACACCCTCTGGTAAAACTCTGAAATCTCCGCCTTTATCGAACAAGCTTTTGCGTTGAGCGGTCGAAAAAGTTCTATTATCACTTGCACAGAGTTGTAAATCACCATTGGCCAAATGGTTCATAAGAGTAGGTGGGGTGGAAGGATCAGGTCTTAAAGGAGGAGAGGTTATATGAGCAGCGGCGTGCGACCAACTAGCATTGAAGTAATTGGTACCGTCCGTTCCCAATGCTGCTGCGTTTGCTTCTCCGTAAACTACGTGACCTTTTATATTTGTAAGTTATATAATTTCGGTTTATGTACACAATTTCTTTAAGGAAAATATTTTTTTATTTTTAAACGCGAATATAATGTCAAAGATATTTCAAATAAATTTGGGATTTTGTTGTTAAAACAATACCCTTTTGACGGGATTTGGCAATAATTGACGCAGCAGTTTTACTCATAACATGAATGATATATAATGGGCAGTTGACTTGTCCTGCTATCACAATGGCTCTATGCACAGCTTCCCCTTCTATTTCTTCAGGGCTGCATAACAAGCATCCTTCAGGCCCCTTTAATCCTTGTTCCACTAATTTTCCCGCATTCTATAATCGTATATAACGTAGAAACTAAAAAAATTTCCAATAAAATGTTTTTTAATTAATTAGGGTTTTAAATAACTTGAGGTATAAAAATAGTATTATTTCAATAAAATAATCATCAATAGGATAAAGAAATTTGCAGAAATTGAATAATTTGCTACGTTCTTTTAACTTTCAAATGTTTGGTATTATTAGGATTTTATATTAATAATACTGTTATTGATTTTTATTTAACTTTAAAATTACATATTTTTTGGATATTTTTATTTGCTGGAGATGATAAACAATCAAGTATATCGAAAATTACTAATATTTTTAATAATATGATGGATCCAATAAACATCATAAAACCAATATTATTAAGACTTACTAATTGTTTTATATCACCATTTTCACAATGAACCATGGCCAGCGCCCCAATTTTCCTAATATGATCCATAGTTTTATACAAGTCAGGATCGGACATTTGGTACAGGCCCTTATAAGCCATGTAAAGCATGAACGAATTGACTCCTAATAATTTATTATAAAAAATTGAATATATTTTGTATAGGAGTGTATAGGTTAAGAGATTTTGATATTTGTTTTAGTAGAAATATTATGACATTGATATATTCAATCCTTAGAGACCTACAATCCTGGAACCCTGCCCGGCCTGAAATTGGCCAAATTTTTAAAAATAAATTAAAAATTATATATCAATTGACTAATTGATAAATCACACATCTTTCATTCGCTGCTTATATTTTCATTAATTAGTTCTTTATTTCATTTCATTTAACCATAATAATGCATTTACATAATATAAAAAAACGAGCTAAACCGGCAAAAAATTTTATGTCCAGTCTACGCTAAGTTTGTAACCGAAAAAAAAATCTGGCTAGACTCAAAATATAACCTCTACAAGCCTCTAATATATAGTATTATAGGAGTAGCTTGGAGGAGACGGAGAAGTGAAATATTTGAATTGAAATCACATTATAATTAAATATTTATACAATGTTTGTTTATATCAAACCCGATTCTTTAGCAAGATTCGTCATATCTTGAGCAACATTATCATCCCATTTAGGGATAGCAACATGCAATGAATAATCACAGCATACCTTGGAATCGGCTTTTTTTTTCCATCTAAATTTTTTTAAATCCAATGATATGTTAAATTTTAAAAATGAGTATAGTTTTGCTAAATACGATATTATGAAATGTAAAATAAATGACTATGATAGTGGCTAGTGGCGTAATAACTAGCAATCTGACCTAGGCAATTGATAAAACATTGCTTAAAATTATGTAAAAACTTAATCTATATTTAAAATTATTTTTTAGAAAAGGGATTATATAATATGTGGTCTACAAATTTACAAAATTTAGTTTAATAGCTCTGCCATTATTCTGTTTGAGGAGATGTTATATCGATATTTCCACATATCTAGATATTAAATATTTCGAATGTTACTCTTTAAAAGTGTTTGTCAGTGATTTGGATGTTGCTTTAATAGCGCAATCAATTATCATGGTTACACCTCCAGCCAGAGCTGCTCTTGAACCATCATAAAAATCATCTACTGATTCTATATCATTCCAGGACGCTTCAAAATGAGTGTTAGGATCTATCCCACCTAAAATATATATTATATTGTTTTCAATCATCAAAGCAACAAATATACCTGGAATCACAAATTTTCCTTTGCAATCCAAAATTATAGCATTTTCTGGAGCTTTTAGTTCCTTACCGATAGATCTATATTTTATGAAATGGAAAAAGGGATATAATTTAGGTCAACAATTGGGTATAAGAGTGACGTGGTAAATTATGAAAATATTAACATCTTACTTTATAACTCCTTCTGTTACTAATATATCACAATCAAACATGAGATCGTCGTTAACAATTTTTCCGTTTTTTAAAACGATGACACTCTGTTGCATCTTGAAGTTTATACTCTTATATATAAGTTGATTTTTTTAAAATATAAATTTACTTAGCACTAATCAACGAATAATATTAAGCATTGGTATAACGAGGAGATCCCCCCTACCAACCTGTCATGGAAAATTTTAAAAATATCATTTTAAACAAATAAAAAATGGTTACACCTTCACCCAATCTCCCACCCCTCACAATGACAGAACATGGTTATGAGCAGCCTGCAAAAAAATTTTCGCGGCACGAGTCCCTACTTTAAAAAAAATTTGGTGTCCGAGCCCAACCAGAGTCCAAGCACAAATTTGTTATTCCAACATGACCCGAGCCCTACTAAAATTATTTTAGAATTTGAATTTATTATAATATCTAAGGAAAAATTAAAAATGATGTGTGGTTGGTCAAATACTCTAAAAAAATCTGAAATTAAAAATGTTTGAAAAAAGAAAAACCGATATAAACATATGTGATCATAATGCTGCTTATTTATTGGGTCCCTTATATCAAGGAAATCCTCTCACTAGTAGTGAATTTAATGAAATATGTGATATAATAAATTAAGAATTTTGTAAGGTGACTCAAGTGATATTATAACTCAGAAGTAAAAGCGGCATGTTTTATCAAATTATGTGGAAAGCAGTAACTTTTATAAGAAACAATCAAATTCTGGTCTCAAGTTAGTGGAATGAGCTTTGCTAGTTCTACTTTTTCTTCAGAAAGAAATTGGTCGATTTGGGTTAATATTCCTATTAAAACAGAAATAGATTGAAGATCTCGACAAAAGGAAAATTGATTAAAAAATATTAAAGAAAATGATAATATTGATTATGAACCAGAACAAGACTTAGCCATGGAGAATTAAACATCAGTTATTGAATGACTGAATTTAAAAAATATTATAAAATAAATATTATAGATTCATTTTACTATTATATATAAAATAATGTAAACATTTATTTGAATTTATTTGACCGCTCAAATACACAATCCTGATTTATAATAATAATGAACATGAAGATATTAATTAGGCACATCAATAGAATATGATGTGAGCAATAGAGTTGTAACTAATCACAAATAAAAATAAAATTTGTGATATTTTAAAACCGTAAACGAACCGTAACTTATAATATTTTGTCCATGAAAATATAGTAAAAATTTGTAGCAAAATTTTATTTTATTAGGTAAAATATTAGAAATGAAATTTAGTAAAATGATTTATGAACTAAATATTGAAAGAAGGCTTACATGATAATTATGCTAAAAGGCCTAATCATTTTGTTATATAATTGGACCAGCTTAAAAAATCCTTTTTGTTTAAATAGAGAAAAAATTTTTAAGCAAGCGTTTTGTCCTGTCACAATGGACGCTAATGTGCCATATGTCTTGAAATATTTTTTAATCAATAATAATGTTTCAAATGATAAAAACAAACTTCAACAATATTATACCTATAAAAAAATGATTAAACTGAAAATTTATGTAATTATGAGTTTCGCCAATTAAATTCACTTCATATTTTATTTCTTAAATATGGGTGAAGTAATATAATAATAATATAAGTTGCCTTAGTTAGCGCGAATTCGCTAAGTATACAAAATATGATATCATTTTTGTATACTTAGCCGCGAATTCTCGCTAACTGTGATTGCAGGGTTAGATACCTGCGTCTCAGTTTAAAATTTTAGGCCCGATCAAGTCATTAAACAATTTAATTTTTTTTATTCGACTGATTTAATCAGACTATTCTTTTTTTTATATTTCTAGAGATCATATTCCAATCCGATTCTTACTTTTGTTTAAGAAACAAGTCCTAGTCCAATCCAGATTTTTTTTATACTGGACTGTTGAAATTGTACGATATTTCAAGGAAAGCGGGAAAAAAAATTATAAGCACTTGAAGGGAAATTATATATTTGAGTGTTTATTTTCCTGAGGCTATGTCCAAAACTATTTTTAGTAAAATTTTCTAGAATTAAGTTTTGAACATGTTTTTATTTTATATTTAAAATAGCTTATTTATTTTATTTTCATTAAAGTTTCGAAAGTTTGTAAATTTAATTTTTTTATGTTTTCGACTCAGCTGGAAGAGAATTTTTATTTAAAAAACGTAGAAAAAAAATTAATTTTAAAATTTTGTCGGATCCGGGTCTGGCCAGAATTAAAATTTTGAAATCAAAATCCGATCTGACCGAACCCAAAAAATGTCTGTCCTTGTTCGACCGACCCGACCTATGTTCGGTAAGATCGGATTCAGATATGTCAGTGCAGGGCTTTAATGTTATATATATTTTTATATAGATTACTCTTACCCGTTGTCTGCGCTTTTGATGAATAAATTTACGCGTATAAGAATAGAGAATAATTAATAAGGTAAAATGTTAATATCTACAATTTCTGAAATGAGATTTTCGTTTTAAAAAATCATGAAATTAAATAATTGAAATTAAATATATAAAAAATAGCATATGTTTTTTTTAATGAAATCAATAAATAATAAAATGAAATCTGATTTTCATCTGTTTTTAGTAAATACATGATTTGATATTTTTATTTAAATTAAATTAAACCACGATGAGCATAATTTTTTTATATTTTAAATACTTTTTATAAAATAAATGTTTAAATAAGTTTTAAACTCATCTTTAATATTTAGTATTGATAATTTTTTTTAAAATGATCGAAACATTTTAGTGCTAAATAAATAAGTGAAAATATTATGGCAATTAAAACTTTTTTAAAAAATAATATTGTTTAAGGCAGGGGGGCATCAATGAGGAATGCCAAAAGTTTTCTCTCCACGCTTAAAAATTCAATTTGATTTTCTGTGAACGGGATGACGAACAGAGAAATTTACTTTTTTAGCACCCCTAAATGATAAGAACTGGAATAATTTTCTGTTATCCTTCCTTAGAGTATACCCATATTCGTTTTAACAGGGGCCAGCTACCTGGAATTATACCATCTAATTCAAACAATACATCTATATTTTATTCTGTAAAAAAACATAAATTATCCCAGCATGAGGTTGCAACAGGGTTAACAGATTTCTAGATTTGGCATTGATTCTGACTGTTTCATATCATTTTTGTCCCTCTAACGTTTTATCTCACCTTTCTTATTCTCAATTTTTTAAAAATAATTTGAAAGAAAAATAACTCACTTACTTTCTCACACTTTTGAAAAATAATAATAATATATCACTGTATAAAACTTTTATTAATTATCAATAAAACAAGAACCTGAAAAATATTTGACTGACATGGGGGCATGGGAAGTGCCAAAACTTTACGCCGGAGTTTTCCCAAAAAGATTTGTATCAAAATGTTTATTTTATTTTTGTGTTCTTACAAATAATTATAAAGTGCCAACTTCTGTAATATTTTTGTTTAAAAAGTAATAATAAATACAGTTGAAATAGTTGGAGCCACGATCGGGGAGGGGGAGCGATCGACGACTTTCGATAGTCCGGGATTGTCGGAGAGTGGGACTGGGGGACTGGAGTTTATGTAGAAAAATCGATTTATTGAATCTAATATTTTAGCTGTAATCCAAAAACAATTATGTACATACAATTCAATTCGACAAAAAAAAACAATATACAAAATAAAATCATAATTGCATGATCTCGTTTATATATTTTTTTTGTTCTTGTTTAAAAAAAAAATTGATTATAACGATATAATTTATTTTTGCTGATCATTAAAGAAACGCTAAACCACATTTAATACTTTAAATTAATTTGCCAGTTCAAAATTTTTGTAATAAATATTTTTAATAATATTTTAATATTATTTTGTATAATATTGGTTATATAATCCACAATATGACATTCATATAATCTTTATATATTACATATATCCATTATCAACTTAAATTTATTAAATACAAAGAATATAATTTTAAAAAATGGATTCGCGTTTAATTCTTATTTCAATGATTACTGCTTTATTTTACATAATATTAATAATTTAAAATTTGCGAGTATATACAAATATTGTTAAGCAAGATTTTTAAAAACCAGGGTTGAGAACCCTAACTCTCCCGAATCCTCGATATTTCGCTCGAACCCTTTTTTAAAATATAGGGTTCAGGGGGAAGTTTTAATGTAGATATTTTAGATGATATTATGATAATATGCCTAAATAAAATTTTTAAAATAGAAATATAATATTATTTTTTTTGTATTGTAGTATTATCTAATATATATAATCTCCATAATCATAACACGATCGTTTTCGTATCTCCCTAATGTAGTGAAGGTCACGGTCCGGTCTTTGGTCCGGACTGGACCGAAACCCCTCGGACCGGACCGGACCACGGTCCTTAAGAAAAAGATCGATCCAGACCGTGGTCCTAAATAAAAAGACCGGTCCTGGACCGGTCTTTTTATTTGTTTAAAAAACATATTTTTTTAACCTAATTTGATTTGTTTTATCATTTTATTAAATATAAGAGTATTATATAAACAATAAAATTTATCCAATGGTATTGAAAAAAATGATTTTGTGTTTGTAGAGGGCATATTAAAATTAAGAGTAGATTGTGTTTTTTGAGATATTTTCATTTTCATCTTTAGAAGTATATATTTTATGTTTTATCAGATGTCTGCTTAAGGTATCTAATTATTTTATTAAGAATAAGGTTAAGTAATTTTTACAATAAATTATACAGACAGTTTCTTTAAAAAAAATAGAACTATATAATAACTAAAATATTTTAATAATATTATTGCTTATTTTGATTAATTTATTGCTTATTTTGATTAATTTATTGCTTAAAAAATTATAAACAATTATTTTGTTACTAGGTGCTGACGATACATTAAATTTGGTACTGAAGTGAACACATACTCTATGTTTTTATTGGGACTATAAGTAAAATGTTTCTTGGACAAACTTATGGTTTTCATATTGTAAAATAAAAATTTACAAAATCTAAAATAATTCCTCTAGAAAAATATCATAAAATAAAATATACAAAAAAATTATATTAATTGTATAGTAAAGCAAACTTAAACAATAATAAAAGACCGGGCCGGACCGCGGTCTGGACCTTAAAAAATAAAAAGACCGGTCCGGACCACGGTCCTCAAGAAAAAGATCGGTCCGACAATCGGTCCGGTCCGATCCCGGTCTAAGACCGATAGGACCGGACCGTTGACCTTCACTACCCTAATGTATTTTAAATTTAAGGAGACTATATAGTGTAAGTTAATTTTATCTCCATAATCAAAACACGATCATTTTCGTATCTCCCTAATGTATTTTAAATTTAAGGAGACTATATAGTGTATGGTAATTTTTTTGCTCTCTACGAGAATCGAACACAAGCCTCCCGTTTCAAAGGCATATGCTTTATCGCATGCACCAACTTGAATATAAATAAATTTAAAATATTAATTATATAGATATTAATTAATATCTAAATTCTACCGTTCCATATTAGCTGATGGAGTTAAAGGGAATTATTTAGTTTGTGTGTATGGTATTTAATATACATTATTAATAAATTTTATATAAATATTAAAATTTAAGAGTAAAATAGGTAAAATTGTTGCAATGTATACTGTGAGCATGTATTAAAAATATCAAAATTTAATAATGTGATGGAAATCATATTGGATAAAATTTAAAATAAAGGTGATTTAAGATTTTTGAATTATAAATATGGGTTATAGATTGGTCTGAAATTTTTTTTTCAGACATAGCCAGGCCTGATTAAAAAACCATGTTCCATGTAACTTTCATAAATTAATTAATAGTTTACATTTAAAATTTTGCCTGTGCATTGAATGCACTGAATACACACCTAATATTATACATATTCCTGAATATTTAGGGGTAAATAGAACTTAAAATGGATCAAGTACCAATTCAATAGGAATAAGGTAGACCTTTAAAGCACCCATTCAATAGTAAGAAGATATTTATTTAAATACTATTTTAATTCTTGAATTTATGTATAATTTATGATTTTATACCATTATATTGGGGTTTCAGAAAAAATAAGAGAGATATGGAAAGGACAAAGCACACCTTGATAACACAAAACTCTTATCTAGCAAGAATAAATTTTTAGATTATAAATTACAAATACAAATAAATACATAAATAAAATTACCAGAGTTGTTAAAGTATCTAGATAGATTATTGATTAAAGTATCTGTATCTAGATATTATTTTAGAAGTATCTGTATCTGTTTTAGATACTTTTAAGATACATTTTGATATACTTTTATTTAACGCTTTTTTATATTATAAATAAATATACTTGAATGTAAAATATATTTTATTTCATATGAGCATATAACTTAATATTAATATATATATTAAAAAATTATATATATATATAAAATATTAAAACTTGTATATAAAAAAGAATATATAAATATTAATTAAATATTATGTCCGACTCCAAGTTATCAATAACAAGCAAATTCTGATATTACAATCCATCTCAAGGAATTTGCCATTTTTAATTGCAATGGAATTGGTATTTAATTTTATTATATTATATTAATTTTTCAGATTAACATTGAGGACGAAAATGACGACATTCCATGGCCAATTTATAGACCATATTTTAAAATAATATCTCATAATAAAGAAAACAAATCTCTGTTAGTAAAATGTCTGCCATGTTTACCAAAAAATATACAAATTTCTGTTAGCATTAGCTCAACTTGTAACATTATAAAGCATTTAAGGGTATAGAATAGATACTAAATATATGTTTACAATTTAAATTATAAGAGAAAACAAAAAGGCTAAGGAGAAAAAATCTATTAAAGAAAATATTGGACTAGGCTCATCGTCCATTGATTTTTTTTTCCAAGAGACCTAAGATTTTAACCCAAGCCATTTTAGATGATTTAATAACCGATTTTATTATTGATAGCGTTCAGCCATTTTCAGTTGTTGAAAATCCATCATTTATAAAAATGATCAAAACATTAGCTCCACAAAAAAATATAATTTGCAGACAGACAGTGATTGCTAGAATTTCCCAAAGATGGGAGAATGAAAAGAAAGAAATCATTAAAAGTCTAATAGAACCATCGTTAATATGCACAACAGCAGATTGTTGAAGTGCCTATCGCCGGTAAACATTTTTTGTATAATAATTTAATTACAAACAAATTATTTGAGCAGTTTTAAGAAATGTTTTTAGTTCATACATAGGAGTCACTGCACACTATATAGATCCAACAAGTTTGGAAAGAAAAAATGTAGCGTTAGCTTGTAAAAGAATGACTGGTAGTCATACATATGATAAAATAGCAAAAAATTTACAAGATATAGCAAAGAATTATTGCATACAAAATAAAATCTCAAAGACCATTACTGATAATGCCAAAAACTTTATCAAGTCATTTAGGTTTATTTTATTAAATATAAACATAATATTACTTATTTATGATAGAGTTTTCAGGCCAATTGAAAATATTAG